AAAAATTCATCAGTTTTTTTCTCCAAGAGATAATTAATACATCTTCTGATCTTAAAAATGAGATGTTAATCATCTCCAATTTGGGTGCTTTGTTTCTGACTTCAGGAAAGTATAAAATTCAAAATACTGTCTTTCATGTACTGTTTCCTCAGGTTGAGCGTTATGGGGTGGTGCTAAAATGTTTGTTATAGAATCATAGAATGGCTTCAATTGAGGGATCTTAAAGATCATCTTGTTCCAACCTCATGGGCAGGGACACTTCCCACTATCCCAGGTTGCTCAAATCCCCATCAACTTGGCCTTAAACACTTCCAGGGACGGGGCATCCGCAGCTTCTCTTGGCAACCTGTGCCAGGGCCTCACCACCCTCACAGTAAAGACTTTTTCCCTAATACCTAATCTAAACCTACTCTTTTTCGGTTTGAAGCTGTTCCTCCTTGTCCTGTCACTTCAAGCTCTTGTAAAAAGTCCCTCTCCAGCTTTCTTGTGGCTCCTTCAGGTACTGGAATGCTGCAATTAGGTCACGCCTAAGCCTAGTCTTCTGCAGGCTGAACAATCCCAATTCTCTCAGCCTTTCCTCATAGTAGAGGTGCTCCATCCCTCAAATCCACTTGGTGGCCCTCCTCTGGACTCATTCCAACAGGGATCTCTTCATCTCTGTCATTGATGAAAGTATTAAATAACACTCGTCTGAATATGGACCCCTGAGGGGCACCACTTGTCACTAATGTCCTTGGGGACTCTAAGCTGTCACCATTCCCCTCTGGATGTGTCTGTCCAATCAATTCCTTATCCACCTTGGAGTCCATCTCTCCAGTTTAGGGAGAAGGACGTTGTGGCGGACCACGTCAAAGACTTTATGGAAGTCCAGATAAATGTCATCTGTAGCCCCTCCCTTGTCCACTGATGGAGTCACTGCATGGTAGAAAGCCACAAGGACTGCTGTGTTTGTTTGGTTTTTGTCTTATTGTTTTAGTTTCTGCATTTTGAAATTCTCAAATATAATGTGTTAAAACACTTTGTTGTCAAGAGTAGCCCCAGTGTAAAACTAATTTTCTTACTATTGTCTAAATATCTTAATACTGCATTTCCTGGGTAGCTTGGTGATCCATTCTCATTTATAGAATTCTGCTGTTCTTCTTTGTTTCTATTACTTTGACATCTTGCTTTTTCCTCCAAGTAGCAGAGAGGCACAGATAGTACATAGTTTATTTCAAACTGTGTGCATACTATGGGAAATAAATAAACTTATTTATACTTCACACTCATGTAGGAGGATTTGCTCTTTTCTTCATTGCTACATAGTTTAGATTTTACAGAAGGTGCTGCTGTTCAAAGAACTATATTGGATTGAGTAGCTTTCTGACACTACCAATGTGTTAGAGACAATTGTGAGTTTATAAAAGTTCTAATTTTAGATTCCTGTTAAAGTATAATGTATTATGATCCTACTCTTCATTTTTAGATTCTTTTCTCAGAGCTTTTTGGCTCTTCTGAAAGAACTTACATAAATTATACTTCATGTTTGATACTATTACAATTTTAAGTCTGGAAATAACAATGTTTTTAGTATTACTTCACTTAAAGGGGCATAAAATTGAACAAATTTAATTTGACTGCTCTGAGTGTTTGTGAATAGGAGGAAGAACTGAGGAGTACACAGTCATGCTTTTCCTATTGCTTTGTTTAAAATCCTCTCCTGGTAAATATTTACAGCATCTGGTGCTGTCTACACAAGTTTTGTGTACTGTGTAGTGTTGTTCAGATGCGCTCCTGGAGACAGAAATAAATTCCTAATACAGGAACAGCTTTGAGGCAGAGAGATGGTAAAAATTCAGGGAAATGGAAATGAAATTACCATTTTACCAGGAATTGTTAAAGGGACCATGACCACACCAAACAAAATTTACAGTACCATGAAATGAAATTTCAGCAGGCAAATATAAATTGAAAGCAAAATCGTTGTCTCATATGAAACTTAGAATGACAATAATAGACTTCTCATTTCATACCTTGTTTTGCTGTTCTGTCTCTTCAGGTAGTTTGACATACTGAACACTAGATACGCAATTGTAACAATGCTACTCCTTGGTATTTTGATACCTGTTATTTCTACTGCTTGGTGGTAAATTTGCTATGCATGTGTTAAAAAAATATAATAAAAAAAGTGATGTCTAACTGGAGGGAAAAAAAGATTTTAAATATCTTTCTCTTTTATTTTCATCCTTATGGAGGAAGGTGACACTAATAATGGTCGGTCTTGATAATGCTGGTAAAACTGCTACAGTCCGAGGAATTCAAGGAGGTGAGGAGGTTATTTATTGTCTAAATGGAATACTGAGAGAGAATAATTCCTAATTTTCAATCATTTAAATCTGAAAAGCCCAAAAACCCAAATGTTCAGGGTATCTTGATGCTTATATGCCTTGAGTTGACCACTGTATTGTTAACTGTGCAAAATGCTAAACTGCAACAAAAAAGTGCTAAATTGCAACAAAATATGTTCTGGGTTTTTTTTAAATTTCATGAGCATCATAGGATATTTTTGACGAGAATAAGGTTTTTTCAGCAGTTCAATAAATAGCTGAAGGAACATTGTAACTACAAACAAGCTGCTAGTCTCCGTCAGTTGATTTAAGTGAAAGAGTAGGACAAAAACTCTGAAGGTTGTAGACCACATTCTATGTAATAATTACTTTGAATTAATGCCATGATACAAAATATTCTGGTTAAAGATCTGCTTCACATGTTGGTGTACATTAGAGAAATCAATGGACTTCATATTTTTTTTTTTTACTTGTGTGCCTGTGCTGAAGTTGCTCTCAGGTGACCATCCAGTAACGTGCAAACTTTATATAAAAATCAGTGTTGTAATTATATATAATGACAAAAAGGTTAAAAAGAGGGAAATTGCATATGTGTATATAATAACATTAAGGATGGTTCTAATAATACATATTTTTTATCATCATTTATCATCAGAAAAGCACTGAAATTAGTGCCTAGAAAATTAATAGTAAGAGACAATTTTGAAGGGTGCTTTGAACCATCCAATGACACAGTGCAAGCAGGATGTAATTTGAGATAAAACTTGTGCTTATGAAAATGAAAATTCTCTGTGGGATTTTTTCCCCCTACTTCTGGAATTGTCTTTCTAAATAACTTTCGTCTTCTGCAATAACAAGAGTGTATTTAGTAGTGTTTTGGCAGACTTGGAGACTCCACCTCAACTTTCTGTTTACTTGTGCTATGTAAGAAAGCAGGAATAAAATCAAGGATATTCTCTCATATTCCTGAATCTTTGCCCTGAAAACATGACTGTTTAGTTATTTAGCCTTCCATTCTATGTCAAAATCCACTTTAATACCTTTATTAGCTCAATATGACAGTTATTTCTAAAAATCCTATTTTTCTGGGGAAAAAAGATAAGGTAAAGATGAGTATTTCTAAACTCAAGGAAAAGATAGTTCTGATTTCTGTCACTGTTTTGCAGTGTTTAAATAGTTGCCTTTTAATGCAATTATGGGGGTTTTTTTCCCTTAGTAGGGCTTGCAGAGATTAGAACCAGTATTTTTGGCTGTGCATCAGACACCCAGTCTGTAGGAGGAGACTGCAGCTGCAGTTGGTTTCTGCTAAAACCCAGCTGTCATATCTCAGTTTTTAGCACTCTGGGTAAATCAGCATGGCCACCAAAGTCTTATTTGCCAAAATAACTGAATTTTACACCTGTTTCTCTTGCCTTGTGCCTACTAAACTACATAAAACAGTTGAATATATCCAATTATCTCAGCCCTGCAGAGAGAGCTTAGTGGTGTGAAGCAAGTACAGGCTTTCTTTGCCCTCAGGGAAGGCAGACATTGAGCAAGAGTTTTAAATATAAAGCTATAATAGTTTTAGCATATTGCATGGCAAACTAGAAACACAGAAAATAACAAACAAAGGCTGAAACCTGTTCTTGAATAAAGAGAGTTAAGTAGTTTACATCTCAGAGGAACATGGTTTTGTTCACTTCATCTCAGGCCTTGGTTTGAACTTCTGAAGTTGTTTTGGCAACCATGGAGGATAAAGAATAAATTTGGTAGAGCACAAGGGTTCCCAGGTCATAATGCATTAACTGTTTTGTTTGTTTTCCTTCTCAAACTTGAATTAATACTATGCAAATGCTGAATAACTGTTCAGATGGTGGTGATGGGCAAGTAAAAGTGGCAGTACACTGAACACCACTGCAATGGAACTGTCTATATTAAAATATTAAATATTTAATATAAACATATGAGTTATATTATTTATAAATAGAAAAATAAATCTATTCTATAAATAAATTATTAAAACCTGCATTTTTGGCTCCTTTCTTTTCTCCACCCCCCTGGTCTAATGCTCCTTCTAAATTAATGTAAAGCAACTGGCTAAAAGACTAATATGTTAATTCAGAATTACCTGAGAAAAGGGGAAAATCTTAATGTAAAAATAAAAATGTGGTTGGCAATGTGATGCCATTTAACAGAGAGATTTCACTCCATGTTTTTAAAATATGAATTTTGCTACACAAATCATGATATTGAATCCTCTTTAAACTGAAAGATAAACTTTCTTTTTTGAACTTTGACAGAGTCTCCTGAAGACGTGGCTCCAACAGTTGGGTTTTCCAAAATTGATCTTAAGCAGGGACGCTTTGAAGTGACAATCTTTGATTTGGGAGGTGGAAAACGAATTCGGAATATCTGGAGGAACTACTATGCTGAGTCCTACGGGGTGATATTTGTGGTGGATTCCAGTGATGTTGAAAGAATGGAAGAAACAAAGCAAGCCATGATAGAAGTTTTAAACAGCCCTAAGATATCAGGAAAACCTGTATTGGTGTAAGTAATGTAATAAATGTTCTCCTAATAATCTGAAATTTGGGAAATTTAGACCTTCTGAGGAATCATTTATGTATAGTATGAACATAAGTTAAAGTGATATACTAATAACTAATACTACTAAGTTAAAGTATGCTAATACTGCTGTAACTTTAGCACTAAGCAATATTACAATTAGTTTTATGGTATTTATGTTTATTTATGTTACTCTCATATCATGCTGGGGAACAAAGCCTCATCTTTCTTTCCCTCTTTCCCTTCCTCTTTCTCTCCATAGTTGCTGGTGATATCCTAAATCCATTCACTGCCTCTGACTTTATCTCTTATTTAAACCTTCTCAGGGGTATCTATTTGTCTTCTCTTTCTTTAGCAGTGGAAAAACAATAAGATGAGATTTTTTAATATTTTAAAATTGTAATATTACTTGAAATGACAGGCTTTACAAATCTGGCATGACAACACGATGTAAAAATATCATTACTTAGGCCTGCATCAATTACTTAAATTGTAAATGCTTGATTATACTCAGCAATACTGGTGATCTCTCAGCAATAAATGTCTTGTTCACTTAACACATGGTGGTGCTGCTGATACATGATAAGCAAAATCTTATTAAAGGAAGCTTCCTTTAATAGAGTTTGGCATGTGCTTTTTCTCTGCTTAATAGGTTTTGTAAAATATTGGAAATAACATATTTCATTCAATTCGGGCCCACCAAAGGTCTTTGATAACAAATACCCTTTTGAAGTTACAAAATAAAGTTTAAAATGGTTTATCAGGACAATGTCTGGTGGGCATAAGACCTCCATAATGCCTTAAATTGCACAACATTTCTGTGCTATCGTAAGTGTCGTGGTTTGAGAGCCCCAAAATCTGTAAAATTAAGAGGAGAAGCGTCTTACTTTAAAGAAATAGTGATGCTGTGGTAACCACCAGGGTGCAAGTGGCTAATTGTTTTGATGAAGTGGAGTGTAGTTCAGCAAGCTAATGGTGTATTTGTTGAAAATAGATTAGATTTTACCTTCCATTGCTCTGAATGTTACTAGTGCAAGGGAAGGCAATAAAGGCAGCTTAATGTAGTGACTTTAACCCAAATCTGTTCTGAAAATGTAGCTGTGACAGTTGACAACTGTTTCTAATTAAATACAACGTCGGGGTGTTTTTGGGTTATGATGTGGGGGGTTTTGTGGTTTTGTTTGTTTGTTTGTTTTGTGTTTGTTGTTGTTTTTGTTTCTTTTGGGTTTTTGTTGTTGTTGTTGGGGGGGGGTTGTTGTTTGTTTGTTTGATTTGTTTTTTGTAGAAATCTCCGTGCCCTAATCCTGTAATGGAGTTTATTTGGGTGACTGGCTGTACCTGCAGAGACCCCACTCACTTCCCTGGGACTTGATCCTGCTTTATGATCCATATCAGTGGCTAATCAGAAGGCAAAGTGTATTTATTAACTGAGTTTACTTAGACTAAACTAAATTTGTTGATGTTATTGCCTTCTAATAGATTCTTAAAGTGCAGAAGGTATTGGCTGTTGTTGACTCTTCATACAAATTACTTGGAGATGTTAAACTTTCTAAAAATGTTAACATTTTTCTTCCTGTTGAGTGTTATCACCTAATCTATGTTTGCTTTGCTCATGTTCAACAGTCAAGTGCTTAAGGAGTTACTCAGTCTGTTATTTATGGGGGCACTAAGTTGTAGAAAGTAGTTCATACAGTTCTTAGATTCATTGGTAAATTCTTTCAGCATCCTCAAGCCTTATACAGGTATACAGGTTTAAATTTTCTTCACTTAGAATGTTTTTTTTGTCCTTCCTTTTATCAGAAAGGAACACACAGACTTCCTATTATTTAGACAAATACTGGTTTTGTTTGGGGTTAATTGTGTCTGCTGGGGCTTTTGTTTTGGTTGTCTGGGGTTTTTTTGTGTTGGAAGAGGAAATGTGAGTCTGTGTGCTATGGCAGATGTTTTTATACTAGGGAAATTGCTGGCCAGGTATTTTTATTTTAGTAGAAAGCTCATTTCTGCCTGTTATTTTGGTGATAAGGGATTAAAGCTATTAATATTTTACTTTTCTTAGTAGAACACTCAGAGCTCTGCTTTAATTAGTTTGCTCTTCTGTATGATTATATAACTAACAAAAACACTGGAAAGTTACTTTAGTGATCACTGCAAAATTTCTGCTGTTCATAATTTTGAATGCTCAACATCAAATTCCCATGATTTCAATGTAAGTTTTAGTTAATGCTATTTATTTTCAGTTATTAGCACCCTGTATTAAGAAAAAGCTTTCCACAAGTCCTGGTTTTCTCACTTCCAGTTGTTCTTCAGTGTGTTTTATATCTTTCTGTTTTGCCTGTTTCTAACCAAATATACATCTGAGAACTACTCAAATTGTTAACTTTTGTATTGTTTTCCTACGTATTAGTGAAACTCAAGTTTTACTCCACAATTTAAAGCACAACTCTTGTTTAACAAGATCATGTTTACTTCAGAAAAACATCTCTGTTGTGTGAAGAAGAAGGCTGGCCCAGGAACACATTTCCCTCTCAGATAAGGATGTGAACACCTCTGCATGGGAGATGCTGTGTAAACCAGTGGTGTTTGCTGTATTTTGATTTTTCTCTCCTGTCAATCCTGGCTGCAATAATCCCTCAAGAAGTACCACAATGCCTTTCTGTTTAAGGGCCCAGGAGAGAAGGAAAGTTATGTACCTTTGTTTTTTCTAAAAGTAAAAACAGGAAAGGAAGATGGGGTGGTGTTGATGTTAGGTGCGTATTTCTGTGTGTATTATATAAGTTTATATACATACATACATACATACATACATACATACATATATATATATATATATAGGTTGACCATAGCAACTTTTTTCTCTGTATTGTTTATTGTCTGGTTTCTACTCTGCTCTTGGAACATAAAGGTAGTTTCCATATATACAGCAGTTAAGGGAGGTTGTTTAATGAAATAGTATCTGTGGTGTCATTAACTTTATTTCTTATAAATGTTATAATATTTTTCTCTTTAAGGTTCAGACCTTTGATTGTATTTTGATAACAGTTAATTTCAGTTGCAATTTTAATGTGGGATGGAAGGAATCCAACTATTTATAAATATCACAATGTAACAATATTCAGTAGTGCCCTTTGATAGTACTTTGATTTTTTTTTTTTTTGTCCCACTAGATGAAACTGAAGACATGTAGCTCACTTAGTATCTTTTAGGATTGTAATGCAGTTTGTTCTGCCTTCTCTGACTGTATCCAGATATAGTAGTATTGATTGTGCCTTTGCACAGCACAAAGAGTTCAGAAATACGTTTCTGGTTTGGGGTTTGGTTTTAGCGTGGAATTTTTTTTTTAACTTTCTTTTTGGAACTTTTTTCGCCTCTGTTGCAGTGTTATTTTCTGTTAAATTTCATTAGAGAGCTGTTTCTCGTTAAGTTCCAAAAGCAGTTGGGAACAGGGTAGAAGCCAGCCACTGGGAATATGGAAAGCAAAAGCACTCCTTTTCTGCTTGCTGGTTTAGGTACTCAGGGGAGCTATTCTTATTTGCTGCTTTAGGCATCTGGTTTTCATTCCTATTTGAAGATCTCAAGCTTCTACAATCAGCAGAATTTCATGGAACCATCTAGAGTTGTGGAAACCCTCCATTAGTTCTGGCAACTCCTGTAGAGTACAAATAAATGCATGTCCTGCACCATTCTGGACTTCCCACCACAGGACTACCATGAAGATAAGTGTGATTATTATGTAGTGAGTCCGGTTGGGTACTGGAGCATGTGACATATCAGGAGAGTCAGAGAGCTGCTTTTGTTCAGACTAGAAGTAAAGAAACTAAGGGAGAGATCTTCCTGCTGCCTAAGCAATAAGGTGGTGAAGATAACAGGGTTCTTTTCAGGGGCACGTGGTAGGATCAGAAGTGGTAGACAAGAGCTGCAACTAGGAAAATTTCTGTCTTGATTTGAGCAAACGTTGGAGCAGAAGGATGATCTGGAGGTCCCCCAGAAATTCCTTCCAACCCTAAATCATCCTCTGGTTCTAGATTTTTTTTTTTAATAAGTATGGAGTTCTATTGGTTTTTTATATTTTTCCTTTAATTTTTGTACTAGCAAAAGTGAGACTGCAGATGCAACTGAACATTTAGGTAGAACAGGCAGCAGTAAGAAAATGCCTTAACACTGTGTGATAAAGTATCATATTCCCCTATCCTTACCTAGTAGGGGGTCTGCCTGTGTAGCTGAATAATATAAATATCTCTCTGTCGGTTTGTTAATGCTTGGCTTCTCAGCAAGCTGCTGACAAATATCCCTGTAGGTTTGGTGATGTGATGTGCTCTGCTGCTGCTGGTATTCTTGAATTTGTTCAGAAAACAGCAGCTCAACCCCTATCTGTAAGAAATACAGCAGGGTGTTATTAAATAAATAACCCAATGTCTGTGAGTAACTTTTCCTGTAGAGGTTGTAGTGAAACACTCCAGATAACTCTCTTCTGACTTTTTGTTTGGTTTAGGCATCACATTGTGGATTGTTACTAATGGAGTCTGCTTTATGTGTAGATTGGTTTTGTAGAATTTCAAATTTCTGGGGAAAAAAACCCCGTAGAATTTGAATCAAGTAAATAAAAGTGCTAAAAAACACAAGGCAATTAAAAATACCAATTATTATTTTGCGAAAAGCAACTAGACCATTATTATGAAATCTGTCTTTGAGATAACAATGCTTTCAATGCTTCCCAAAAGCACAGGTAGTTTGTTGCCACATTATTTTAGTTTGAGTCAGAAGAACAAAAAAGTGGCACTTTCGTCCTTTGATCCTTTCCCCTCATTCATGTGATTGTGTGAAAACCATAACATTCTTCGCATTCTTCTAACTCTCTTTGGATAAGTAGACAGAGTTTTTCCTGAGAGCGCTGTTGAAGGGAAAATGAGATCCTAAGACTGCTTTTCAAGATCAGTTTGCTGTGTAGGAACCATTGGTATTTCCAGGAGTTCATTTCTTTTATCATTTGCAGCATGGACAACACCAGCAGCATATTGCTCTGCAGGGGTTTCTTTTTCTATACCTGACTGCAAGCCCAAATTTTTCTTTAGATACTTGAGTATATTCTTGAGTGTTGTTCATACTGATCTCTATGTTGTTGATCATCTCCCCCTGCTCCTCCACCAGCACTGATATCTGGATAAAAAGTTCCTTTATGTCTTTGATCTGGTTCTCTAGACTGACGAGTTCTTTGTGTCTCTGCTCGATCTCTGAAAGCTGAGCTTTAGTTATTTTGGCTTCAGTGAGGAGATTTTCATTGAAAATCTCCCATTTTCCTTGTTGGAGCATGTCATTGACTTCTTCCTCAGACACCTCCTTACCAGCTACTTCGAGCTGACGGACAATAAACCTCCTGCATTTCTCCTGCTTGGCAGTTATGGCTTCATTGTAGGAGAGCATGGCATTGAGGTAACGGTGGGATAAGAAGGCATGTTGAAAAGTCAAGATTCTCACTGTGGCACGTGATGGCCCATGCTCATTTTCAGCTTTTTTCACTGTCTTTGACAGTTCATCCAAACATTTTCTTATGTGCTCTGCTTGAATTTTTATTTCCCTTGCTATGTTAGATTCCTTTTTCAGAACACTGAATCTCCTCATTGAAGACACCAGGCTTTTTTGTTGTTGGCTGAATTTATTAACTTCTTCCACCAAGTTATTAATTTCATTCTGAAGCTTCTGGATTTCATGCAAATGCCTTTCAGTTATGGGCTCTTTTTCATAAATAATGGCCTGCTGTTCAAAGTCCTGCTCCTCTTCTTGGACAGCTGCACTGTTGTTTTCTCCAGCTATCTGTAGTTCCTTAGCCCTCAGTTTAAGCTCTTGCAGTCGGTCTCTCATGGCTTTTGTGTTCAGGGTTTTTTTTTTTTCCCCGGGCTTTTTTTCCCCCCCTCTTGCAACACAGGAAGTTAATCCAATATCTTTTTTTGTTGGTTTTGTTTCACTGTAATCAAAACGTAACAACAATCAATGTTAGCAGTTGTACGTATAACATAAAAAGTAGTTTGGGAGGTTAGAGCCACTTCTCTCTGCACAAAAGTAAAAGTGGTGGGTATTCTGAACAAATACATGAGATAGGTGGTGTCAGTGCACTCCACCATTTATTCCAGACTCTTGAGGAGTTTATCATAACCACCTTCACATGGGTCTGGTTACAGTCTTTCCTCAGCTTCTTCACTACAGTGTTCCTTCCACATACAGTGATTTGGAGCCCAATCCCATTTTTGTGGGTAGAATGCAGAACTTAGACCAGTGAAGAACATAATGTGTGGAGAGCACTTTTATTTTGAGGAGGAAGAGAGGAGTAACTCAAATTCTTATTTTATCCTAGTTCTTTATCTGATTAAAATTAATCAACCTTTAAATCTTTTTGGAAATAGAAGTGAATCTGCTGTTCCATTTTTGGATTCTCTGTAAGAAACACAGCTCTCATAATTTTAAAAACTAATGATTTAGCATGAAAATAGATTGTTTTTTTTTTTTACGTTTGAGTTTTTCTGGAGGTGAATCCCCATCACTAATGTTGCAGCATGAAGATTTTCTAAGCCTATTTTCTATTCTTACATTATAATTTGCAGTCTTCATAAAATTTATGCAAATGTGCGTTGTGCACCATGGTGGGATACAACTCAGTGCTGTTTCTTATTTAAGAGAAAGTGGATTTAGTTTTGTTTTATACCCTAGATGTTGTGAAGATATAATTCCCAATATATTCTTAAATATATTCTTTATATTCTTAAATATATAGCTTTACTGAAGATATAATTAAGAGAAAATTTCCATTGGGCATGTTTTAGAAAACATCTGAGTTCAACTGGTTTTAATTATAGGGAAGAAAGTGTTTTTCTCAAACTCTACATGAATTATTTGCTTGGACTGTGATCAAGAATGGAAAATTTCAGTAAGAAGTAAAATGTTCAGGACTAGAAGATTATGGGATTTTTTACTTGGGGTCTTCTGGTTAAATCAAATGTATGTCTTCCAAAGGGCTGCTCAAGCAGTTAAACAGGACGGAAGTATCTTTTGCCTGTTTTTAGATGTTTCAGGAAAGACTTAAAGGTACAATTATTCTTAAACCCTGGTTCTAAAGATCTATATTTGTTTTTTAGTACTTTTTTATAGTATCCAGAAGGATGCATTTGTAGTAACTGCAAAGGATCAATCAGGTAACCTGTCAATATGCAAATTATTTTGTTGTATTTGAACAGTTTGAAATGAGACTTCATATTTAAAGTCCCTAAATAGATTTTTGAATAATATAAGTCATGGAGTTAAACAGTGAGTGTGGACACATCTTCACAGATTTAATGTGGCTTTCTGCAGGAGGATTAACTGAAAAACAAAACTTGAACTGCTTCAGGGGTCAATCATGAGAAAGAATGTTGATATTCTACCCTAGTGTGGATTTCCCGTACTGCTTTTTCTTTTCCTTATAATCCTTTAGTATGTGAATTTAGTGTTTGATTCACGTCAAGAGAATCCAAAAAGTTACAGTAATGTACTGAAACTTGTGATCAGAAAACTTGCAGGTTATTTATTGAGGAGTATTATTTTGGGGTGGGCAAAATGCGACATGTATTTGTTTCATTACAGTAATGCCTCTTCATTGCTGAACTTCCTATGTATCTCCCCACAGCAGAAGTCAGGCAATTCCTTCAAGATAACATCCTTTAGGAATGTTTCAGAGCTGCTGCAGGGAAAGTGACCTGAAAATGTGTTTCAGTGTAGCCCAACGCTGCTGACCCACGTTAATTTAGGCTGGTTTGGCAAACCTGGGATTAAAAGCAGTTCTAAGGGCACCATTAATGTTTATGATGTGTTGTGGCAAGACTTTCTTGTATCCAAGGCAATGCAAGTAATTTCTGAAAAGCTCTGAAACATGCATGAAGTCATCCAGTTACTCCTTCAGACCACAAATGGCAGTTACCCATTTTTCATATGATTAATCTCCTATGATTTGAAAGTAAGTTAAACATTGGAGCATATGCTGGGCTTTATCTTCTGTAGGTATATGCATTAATGATTGACATCTACTTTTCAATGTTTTAGGTGCATTGGTCTTCAAATAATTAGGGGGAAATGGGGAGAACAAACAAAATTGCAAATCTCCAAACATTCTCAACTATCAAACTTGCAAAGCACCAAGCATAAAATATTTAAGATGTTTTTTTCTTGTTTAAACATTATTCTCACAAAAGAATGGAATCAAGCAATTTGAACCTTAGTTTCATATCTTATATTCTGTCAGGTTTGCCTTCAAAACCTGCCACTGAATGTACCTGGCAATAAATGTGGTTGATTATACTGGCAACTGAAACACATGCTGGTTTCAAATAAATAAGGATGTCTTCCTGACAAAGATAACCTTGGAAATTGTTGGCTTGGCTTTTTGAGTGTTCCACAACAAGCTTTGCTTTGTGAGTCCTTGTTTTTGTCCTGTGTGTTTGTGTATGTGGGTAGGGGCACATCAGGTTTTGATTGAGATGAAAGATCCATTTTCTTGAAGTTTTTGTCAATAGAAGGAGAATATGCCTATTCTTTTAGACTTAAGTAAACAGAATATGTGGACTGGAAGCAATCCAGTGACTTAGTGTGTCCCCTATATTCAAAAAAAGATTTAAAAAGATGATATTTTTACAGTGATAAAGTAGCACAGACTGGCATGTCCTCATCAGAATTTCTGTTCATCAGAGGTTGGAAAATTTGGCTTAAAGCAGCCGAGAGACTGACTGCAGGAAAGCCAAAGCATATCAGTAGATGGGAAAGCATTTGCTTGTTAAACTATAGCTTTAAATTATTGACTGTATTTAGAAATAGCTCTAAATGCTTTCATACCTATAAATCTGAAAAGTATTAGTGAGGTTTGCTTGTGTTTCTAGCCATTCCTCAGTCATAAATGCTGCTGTGACATCTGTTATCTGAACTATTACTGATGCTGAAAACATGTTTGGAGCTGGAATCACAGGCTGATGGTTAAAAAAAGATAATTTGTAGAAATGGAGTTGCTCTAATAATATGGCTGCAATTACTTATTTGAACTGATGTGGCTGCAGGATGGATTTGAGGAGGAGGGGCAGAGGTAAAGGAGGATGAATCAGGTCCAGTTTTGCCCAATACCTAAGTTGTACTCAGAGTTCAGGGATTATTGATATGCTTTCATAAAACTTATCTGGGGAGAAAAAGTAGGAATGCACTGGGACGTTTCAGTTTGGTTGCTCTGGTATTTTGTATCTCCCAGAAACGCTTTTTTCCCTGCTCCTCTCAGTGTTTTTATCAAGTAAATCCACTGTTGGTTAAGTTTGTATTTGTTCTTCTAGTAGGCATCTTTATATATAGTTAGATATATAATTATCAGGTTCAGAAATGCAATTTTTACATCCTTATCAAATATATTTTAAGGGGATTGCAAGAGTCTTTGCCTTCTGATAACTTGACTGTTTTGCTCATCAGGGTTATGTGAATCTCTGCAGTCAAACCCATGACATAAGTGGCTGGGAAAGTCTTTATAAAGACAATTACATCAGCACACTGGTGGAATAATAGATCCTGAGAGCTGGACCACCATTATTAATCTGTCAGGATGATAAAGTATGTCCTAAATTCAAAGATAATGAAAATTTTTATATTCTCTTCTCTATTTTTAAAGGAAAAAAAAAGACAAGTTAAAAGGTCCATTTGCTTAATTGCAAAGCAATGACATAGAATATTCTTCCACTTTTTAAATACACCCAATAAAAGTGGAGCCTACATCCAAAAATGAGATTTGAGCTGCATCAAGTTAAAAGATACAATTGGATATGTGAAGAAGTTAAGTTGATCATATGGAACTCGTGTTGCTGGTTGTAATTAGATGTAATGGCTTCTTTTTTGGCTTTGCTGGATTGTTTTATTTCTTCCCCACCACCCCCAATTGACCAAAGCCTCCTGTTTATTTTAATTTCCATAATTTTCTTCACTATTTCTTGGTTATTTGTCACCTTCATTAAAATGCCTGGCACAAAAGGCTCTGTTTATATTTGATCTTTGATACAATTTTCATGCCTTCTTACCTTCATTTTAACATCCTGCATACTCTTCCAGAGAAGAGGACTTGGAGGCAATTAAGAAGCAGAATTCTCTCTTTAAGAGGTCTTTGATATGTATGATCTGTGTTCTGGATCATACTGCTTTCTTTACCTTGGTTGAAATAGATATCTTTTGTTGTTAGTGGGGTTTTTGTTTTGTTCTGTTATTTTGGGGTTTTGTTTTGTCGGTTGGGTTGGATTTTTATTTATTTTTATGATTGCAACAAAAATAAAGGTTGGTTTGTTTTCCTGTCCCATAGTTACGAGTCAGTTAAGGGCACTGGGTAGAGGATGTTTTCAGGCAACATGTCCCAAAGGAATTTTGGGTCACATGTCATCTTAAAATTTTATTTTATTCATGTTCCCAGCTGCAGTGAAGTTACATTATAGCTCTGTTATATGATGACTATAAAGCTGTATAACTTCGGAGCACAATGGCTGTGGATAGTGTTTGGAGTCATACTCGGGGCTGGAAGTTGATTCCTGCTTAAGTATCTTAAGTTAGCAACAAAAAAATTAGTGAGACACATATAACCATTTAAATGCATATAGTTTAAAATACTTTTAGTAGTCTGTGAGGAAAACTAGTTGAGTTGAAATTTAGTTTGCTCCAAAGGCTGTGCTCTCTCATATATTCTCACAAGAATGTTTGATGGGGTTTGATGGGAATCTTGCCCTATTTGTCAAAGATTTATCTGAAGTAATTAAAGTAGGATTTCTTGCTACAAGTTACATTTATTTTCTCCTCTATTTAAAAAGTGTCCTTTAACTTAAATACTTGGTAAACAAACATGCTTAAACCAAGGATTACCAGACACAAGCTGGTTGGGTGAAAATATCCTCTTAAAGCATCTCTGTCTTAAGATAAGTCCTTAGAAAAACATGCTTAGAAATAGTTGTAAGTTCAAGTTTCTGTTTGTGGGAAGTGTGGGAGTGGTTCAACAAGAAAATACCAGAGGCAGAGAGCTTGCCCTGCCTAAAAATATGCCATTTATGAGATGAGAGTACAAAATCAGTTACATTTTCAGCAGAGGGGACTTATAGGCTGTGTCTTATTCTTAATATTGAAAAATACTAAAGTGCAAAGGTAGTTTGTGGAGAAATAGTGATATTGAGTAAAAACATGAGATTAAAATAGAATAAAGCAGTCCTGAGTATTCAAGGAGTTCATAAGGCGTGTAAGAATTAGTCCAAAGTGCAACCAAATCGTGCTGCTCTGGAGTAAGTTCTCAAAGGGAGATGTAGAGAGGGAGAAAATAGACCTTAGTTACTTAAAATAGTGTAGATGTTCTTGGGCCTTTGAGCATAAATCTGTAGCACAGTTATGATGTAGGAAATTTAGGTGTCTTGTGTTTTTGTGTGGTGCTGCATGAAATGGGAAGGAATCCTGAGAGAGAAGGGAATACTACTTAGTGGAGTGGGAGAATCAGCAGTTGATGAATCACCTGGTACAAGCTTTTATACTTTCAAAATCTCTACAACTGTCAGTTCTTCTCTTGTGTTTCAATGAAAAATATGGGGGGCTTTTGCTATTTTGTGAAGTATTTGGTTCAAAGATACAGTGATTCAGTTGCAAATCTGAAATTGTTCCTTGGAGTTTTGAAACCCCTTGTTGTGATTGTGTGGCTGCAGAAAGGGAAGACTCGAGGAAAAGCATCTTCCACCATGTCCACGTGTCCAGACAGCAGTTCTCATGTTCCCTGCTAATACTCTGGGAAGTGGGAGGTGGTGAGTTCGTGCTTTTGCGCTCACATAAGTCACAGTTGTGGTGACACACACACTGCACCTACAAGTCCTCACTGACACAACAATGATCTCACTCTGCAAATCACTTAATCTGTGCTTTATTCTCTGTAATTGTGAGGGAATGGAGTATCCCTTGATTAAAAGCAAAACTGGAGAACTTATTTGGTGTTTTGATGGTGATTTTTTTCACCTATTTAGCCAAAAATTTCGATAATGCTCTTTGAGTCCTCAGACATGAGCAACAGAGAGAAATAAATGCATATGTTGTAGGTACCTGGGTTTATTTGTTTATTTCCAGCAAGAATAAGACTAGAAATCAGCACCTTCCCTTAATTAGCTGGTGCAAATATGATGGCCACCTACAGGTCACAGAAATCCAGAAAGAAAATCATAATCTCTTCTGCTAAAAGATCACATAATTAAGGTCTAAATATTCATATAATTTAAAGCAGTATTTGAAAATAAAATAGGAGCAGGAGAAAAGGCTGCAACAGGATAGGGGACAGGTGAAATTCTTTCAGCTTAATAGGATATGTTTTATATATCCTAGTTAATGGGGTTTTATTGCTCTAAATGGTTTGAGATTTTTGTCTTCCTGGCAGTGGAATTGTAGATTCAAAATTTGTCCTGTACAATATCCCACCTACTTTCCATTCCCATTTCATCCCTGTCAGACCACAGAGCTTTGTATCACAGCCTTGGAACTCACCTGGAATAAATGTAAGGATTTTCAGGCAGATTTTTTATAAAAACATATCTTATAGGCAATTTGACTATACTTTGTTTGCCTAGGTATTGATATATCAAGGTGAAATAAAGTATAAAAAACCAATTCATATTTACAATTTTTTTTAAAATCTTGTCCAGAAATATATGGCAACATAGTTTATTGTTACTTCTTTTGGAATTACACATCTGGAAGCTGAAAATAACATGTTTTATGTGAGCTCAGACATCTCTTTGGATGCAGCCTATTTGACCAACAGGTGTGAATGAACTGAGAGCAGAGCAGAGAAATATGTTTTCAGTAAATATGAATATGGTTTAGACCTATGGTAAGAAAACATGAAATTTAACAAAATAAAACAAATAATAATTATTGACAACCTTGTGACCACTTCAAAAGGTAATATGAAAATGAAGTTGCCCAGAGATATTATAACAGGATGAGTTTAGAATCTTATTCTTAATTATTCTCTTATTTAAATGTGACCTGGAGGAACTGTCTCGGGCTAAGCTTGAAATAGAGAAATGTCTCATAGCTCCCTGCAACTGCATGAAAACAAACTGTTAATTGCTGTTTGCAGGCAGATAATCTTGTAGCACTTTATTCATCATTTCTTCATTATAGCTTAGCCTAATATCCAAAGGATTGTTTTGCATAAGGGTTGAAGGCATGAAAAGCAAACTAGAGGAATGAGGTAAGTTTATTTGAGGAAGAGCTATGTGTCAATCAGTAAAAAGTTACTGATGGGTTTGTCATTATTGTCAGCAACCGAGAAGACCTGAAACTGTTGGTCTATTCTCCTATCTGTTTGTTTGCTAAAAATATAAAGAATTTTGTGTTCCATGACTTCCTGAAAAGGCTCATGAACTGCCAGTAACTGAAGAAGAAGGAACAAGCAAAACAAGCTGGCAAACTGACATGTTTGTGGATCAGGAGTTTGACTTTTGTGGATGTTTAACATAAGCAAAGCATAAAAAGACTAATAAACTTTTTCATGCTGTGTCTGCTGAGGCCTCCCTTCTCTAGGATAAAACATCGTTCTGATAGCTGTCCAAGAAAAAAAGTTAATAGATGGGAGATAAAATTTCTGAGGGGAGAAAAGGTAGAACAGCATTTTTAAATAGAAGGTTGACTGTACACTGAAGAATAGAGCACTGTTCTTTCCTGTGTGTAGGCTGCTGTTTAAATTCAAAGGTTCTGTCTTCCTTGTTTCCCCAGGAATTCTAACTCCATCCCACAAAGCTACAGGTTCTTCAAGGAGCCTTAAAGACTAATGATCTCAGATTAATCATTCTCGTAAAGATGCATTTTCCTAAACTTGCTTTTTCCTAAACTTGCTTTTAACCTGTTGATAGCTCTGATACTGTAATATTTTGACTTCAGGGATGCTTTGCTCTTCATTTTGATGGCCACCATGGGTCTGTGATCACTAATTCTGATTAAACTTAACCCCAAAAGCAGCACATCTGAGACATTTTTACAGATCACTCCCCAGTGTGTACCCACTGCAATATTCACTGTTCAGTATTATGTTACTGTATAAGAATCCCACACAAGTAGAGGGAAATGCATCAGTTGGAAAGTAACAGTATTTAAAAAAAACTCCAACTCTGCCAAACAGGAAAACAAACACGTGCACACGCATACCCTCACACATAAAACCCTCTTCCCACACATACCCTTTCTGTAACACCTCTTGGATTTCTGATGAAAGCCAAGATACAAATGTGTCCATTTCATACATTTTTTTTTTCCACCAGATCTTTTGTATTGTAAAGTAAACTTAAATACTGGTTTGTTTTTTGTTTTGTTTGTTTTTTTCCTCTTTGCTCAGTAATTTTATAAACAGCTCAAGGAATAGATTGCATTCAGACTTTGTTTTTCTCTGGCATGTCTTCTGGCTTCTAAAGAAATATTGTCACTGAACTGTAGATGTCACTTGTGCCAATGCACACATACACTCCCTTTCCACATTGTTTCCTGTGACTTTTAAAGTTCAAAAGCTCTCTTAAGTTGCTTAGACAAATCCTACTTGATATAAAAGCAGTAGGTGCCTACTTTTTCTTTATTTCTTGCATGAGGTAAGTTTGGTACACCAACACAATTCCAAATATACTTATGTGAAATTGAAAGCAAGCCAAGCATGATTTTATATATGAAAGCTTCTTACTCAGCAAACTTAACATGATAAACCAACAGACACGCTCCTGTGCTTTCAAGTATGTTTTGATATATACCTCTTATGGGGTTTTAAACATGAAAAATTGCTATATATGAAGTTTAACGGACTTGGAAATTTAAAACCAAGGTCTATCCTTTAAGATAATTCTGATGTATTCCCTGAAGAAGGTATTTTTATGCATAAAATTTGCCTCGAAACCTGGTGTTCCTGTGCATGAGCAGTAGAGCTCTGAGACTGTATTCACCCACAGAAATACCTAATTCTTTGCTGGGTCGACATACATTATTTGTATGTCTTGACACTTGAGCACATTTCCATTCTAAATCCCCAGTACAGAGCTTTTTTTTTCAGATATTTGCAACTTTATATATATTAGGTAAGAAAAACATGTATACCTCTTAATCCAGTGCTGATGGCTTTCTGTTTTATCCTTTCCAGCGGAACTCCTGCTTCAGTACAATCTGAGAAACATTTTTCTGAGTATTTCCCTAAGTAACATGTCCTGAGTGACTTTTCCATTAAGGATTTTCTTCATTCCTTCTGCTTCTAGTTCTTATATAGTTGTCCAAGTGTTCAGGAGGGTGTAGTGTGAGAGAGAAACTTCTGCCACTGCAGTAGACAGGCAAATTGATTACTTTCTACTTGGGGAATCTGGTTCTGCCTGTTTGAAACCCAGCCTTGCTGAGGGGTGGATCCATTGCTGGAACTGCCCAGCAGCAGGAAGTGCCTGGGAGCAGCTCCTTGAATAGAGAGGCCTTAAGAGCTGGAAGTGGAACACAAGTGTAAGTGCAGGGCTTGCTTTCTTCTACACCAGAAGGGAAAAGGAAGCAAGGTTAGGTGGATCTAATAGTAGATGGAAAACAAAACCCAGCAAAATAATGCCTTTTACGACAGTATCTTAAAAATATTTTAACTCCATTTATGTGTTTGACCTAAAGTCTGAGGTGTTCAGTAAATGTATGACCTGAGCAAACCACTTCGCTTCCTGGGGAGTATTAGGTGGAGGCAGTTATTTGGATATGCTGCTTTTCCAGATATAGCATCTTAGCCATATTTTTTGAATGCTCAGTCAGTGTTGCTGCAGAGAAGATGGAAACTAATTGACCAGAAAGACAAATATGACACCTTTCAAGGTATTAGAGGGTAAAAATCAGCAGCTACTGCAAGCTGTAGGACTTCAGTGTCACACTGACACTGAGCTGTGCAGCTCACCAGCATTTCATTCTGCCTCAGCTGTGCTTTGTAGAGTGTGCAGTCCAATAACACAGCACAGAGTACAGTTATTTAATCTTCAGGTGAGAAAGGAATAGGCTGTGGCAACAAGCACTGCTCAGAAATATTTTCTTCAATTAGATCTGGATGAATTGACAGCACTGCTGAGCAATGCTTTTGGAGACTGAAGGGCAGCACAGTAGGATTTTCAGATTGTAACAGAGATGTTAAGTGGTGGGGAAAAAAATGGAGATAATTTTTTCCAATCTTGTAATTACTTTCCATAGCTTTCTTGAATTTAATTTAATTTTTTCCCTGGTTTATCCTATTTCATAGCTAAACACTGAGAGGACATTTCATGTTCTGGCTGGTTGCTGAGAAGAAACAGTGACAAACATTGAAAATATCTTAGGCTCTGTATGTGTATTGACTGGGAATCTCTGCAGTGAATCATCCAAAGTGCTGTAGAAGTTCTCTCTTTGAGAAGTGGGAACAAGTTTTCAAAGGAGGGGCAGGGAGAAGAACCTTATACTCTTTTTAGCTCTGCAGGCAAGTCAGTAAAGTTCTGATTATCAGTGGGATGTAGGGATTGTATTCCCAGGATGATGATAAATAAGTGAACCATTTGGACCACAAATAGTTAAGAATGATGAAGGTTGAGAGAGACTGGACATTTGAGAAGCTACTTTTCTATGGTCTCCTTCATAAAAAAACTCTTCTAGAAAAGATGAAAGATTAAATAATGAATCATGAGGTTAATGATGACAAGGGATGTTTTTTTGAGCTGTAGATGCAATACAGCTTTTTCCCTAATGTTTCTTTGAAAGTAAAAACTCTCTTGGCAGTAAAATAATTAAGAATTGAAACTCTCATACTGTGATTCTGGAAAATATGAAAGAATAAGGTCTTAGACCAAATTGATGTGCTGACAAGTTCTGCTAACTGTGGAGTGAATTCTTACCATTGTTCCTTCCCAGCAAGGAGTATGATAAATCCAAAGTACAAGCTTTGGCCTAATGTTCCCTAAAAGCCATTTGAGTTAATGATGATTACTTGATGTCTGGTTCCAAAACCTTCTGCCATTGAGTTCATGAAAGCCAAATATTTGTCTTCTTATCCAGAAGGTTGAATCAGAGTTCTCATGTAATTGAAATGTTGCAAGTGCAATTTTCAGATTCCCTAATGCTGTGGAATGCTCCTTCTTGCAGCTTTTGCACTTAGCTTGGATTATTACTGTTGCAGAATGTGCAAAATAAGATTGTGTTGTATTCTTGTAATCCTAAATGGATGTCTATCTTCTGGAGTCCTCTTTGGTGCCATATATCTGAGAAATAAGAGAATGATAGCACTTCATCTTACAGAACACTTTTTTATTGTTAAGCTATGTGGGTTTTTTTTGCTTCCTGCTATTTAATAAGGTATGTTTCCTCCCTCTGAGCTTTAAGTTTTACTTGGGAAGAACAAGTTCAAAACATCACATATGAAGTTGTTTGGCGTTAGAGAGAAATATTTGATAATAAGGCAGACCTGAGGTGATCATGAAGCAGGAATTGCTTATGGTTTGGAAGCTGCAAAGTTCTGGAACTTTCATCCAGTGACTCCAACAGATTACACTGTGTAACTTTAGATGTAAAACAGGATGGTCTTTTACATCTTAGCTGTAAATATAATTGCTTTCTCTATAAATAATTATTAAGGAATTACTACGCACCTTAGTGATTGTTTAATTTTAATATCTGATGAAAAGGGTGCATGGACTAAGTAGAAAGTTTAAGTAGAAAGCATAATGAATTAAAGATGAAATAAGACATTTTATCTTTCCTTTCTCACTCTTTCCCTTCTTCCTACTTTTCTCAAAAACTTAGCTTTTGGAAATTCGTGAGTCTCTCTTGTGTCATTGTGCTAAGTGTTTCTTTTGATCTTTTCTCCAGGCTGGCAAATAAGCAGGACAGAGAAGGAGCTCTGTCAGAAGCAGATGTAATCGAGTCCTTGTCTCTGGAGAGGCTTGTCAATGAACACAAGTGTCTCTGTCAAATTGTATGTATGTTGTAACACGCTTCATTTTCTAATTTCTAATTATATATATGTAAAGCTTCCAGTAAGGTAGAAACTAAAATCTTGCGTTCCCAGAAAAGATACAGTCCATGTATCTGTTCTGCAAGAAATTCTACTGCTCACCTTGACGTTCTAACAAATGTTTACAATGGAGATCCTCAAAATGTAATTGCTGCTCTGTTCTGAAACCATGTAAGAATATTTAAGTTACTGATGTGGTTTAAAACTTGTTTAATTGAACAGCAAATTTAAGTATTCCAGCTTTTTTAAAAAGAAGCAGAAAAGGAATTTGCCTGTGTTGATATTCAGGAAGGATGACTGTTCAGATGTGATTTTTCTCTTGGCAAAAAAAGATTTGTAAATATTTCTGAATTTATGGAATGCCTAAATACAGATTTACTTCCCATACTTCTCCGTGTTTTGCAGTAAACAGTAATTGTTTAGCTAATTCCTTGTTTTCAGTCAAGGAATGTGATCTGAACTGCAAGTACTTTTCCGCTCCTTCCCCTTACATTTACAGGAACCTTGCTCAGCTATCATGGGCTATGGGAAAAAAATTGACAAATCAATAAAAAAGGGGTTATTTTGGCTTCTACATATCATAGCCAAAGATTTTGATGCCTTAAATGAGAGAATCCAAAGAGACACCACAGAGCAAAAGGCATATGAAGAACAGAAGAAACTGGAACGAGCTGAGCGAGTAAGAAGGATACGAGAAGAAAGGTATTGTCTCTGTAATTTCTGCTTCCTCCTCTTCTTCTTTTCTCTAAGATAATTGATTCATTCCTGTAAGTGCAACCAAGCTGTCAAGGATTTAGAACTTACAATCCAAGAGACTCCATATTAAAAGTACAGACCTGAATTCTAGAGTTTTTCTGCAGGACCTACAAGATTTTGTCTGGTTCATGCCCTTTATCTTATTTGCTCCCTGCTTGAAATGTACTGTGAATGAGAACTGCATGGTAGTTATGGAGTAAATTTGGCCTTACTAATATAACTTCACAAAAGGCTAACCCAAAAAATAAATCCTGGCATTTAATCTTAAATTGCCTTCAAGTGTATTCTAAATTAAACTTCTGTTAAGGTAGACTCTGTAACCAATATGTGAGTATCAAAGACTAGATGTGAAACTGTATTCAACACTATGCTTAATAAACTCCAGGATATCTAATAGGTGAGGCATGAAGAAACTAAAGATGGCGCAGTGAGGGGAAGCAGGACAAGTGGTTTATTATTTCCCTTCAAAGCCGTTTCTGGTCTTCAGCAGCCTACTGTGGTTCCTATTAAAGACTGATGTGAATCATTTTACTGAGGAATTATTAAAATATTTGCTGAGCACCCCGTCCTCCTTATAAAGGCAGAGGTTTGTGAGTCTCAGTTACTGTGAGAAACTCCTGTGAAGTGTCTTGGCTTATACTCTTGCTGTTTTGGTTTACTTCAGCAAGTAACTGAAGCACGTTTTAAACCCCTGGAACTTGACATGGTCTTCATGCACATTTCACAAACTTACAAACCCATATACTGTTAGTCTGCCAGATATCTCTGTACAGACACAACTTTCTGACCATGATGGATTGCATTGGGTTAATGCCATGCTGGGAAGTGTGGGGAGGAGGAGTAGCTTTGAAACATGTCTCAAAGAAACTGGCTGATGATATGGGCATTTCCTCTCCCCACTCAGTGACCTTAGTTGTATTTGTTCACTGGAAAAATTGATTGGATCTGAATTGGATTAAAGGCTTAAAAGTTTTGCTAAAGTTCTTGTGCCTTAAAGGAAACCTGAGTAGTAACTTCTGTTGGTTTTGCTTGTCTCAGGTATAAGAGATGACATGAACTCTCGATTTGCTGGTTTGCATCAAATCAATTTCTTGTTGTAAGACATAGGTTAATCTTGATTCTGTTGTAATTCTGTTTCATTTTGTGTTTCACTAATTCCCCAGGGTTCTTTTTTGTTCAGAAAGTGCATTTCCTCCACAATATGTTAGTAGCAACAACCTTGTTTCCAATGGAAAACGAGAGACAGTGGTAGTGCTGTGAAGTTTTCAACAGCACTGTCTGTTCCTTCCAAGCATTATGTTTTCATGGGCAGATTACTGTCTTCCTTTTCATTCCCCTCTGTGCCTCTGAACAAGGAGTTTGTTCCTTCCTCTCTCAGCACTTACAGCTGCAAAATAGGTGTAACAGTGACTTCTATGTGCAGTTACCATCAGATGATTCATGAGAAGTATTTGATGAGAATGTACTTTATCAGTGATGTATTATTTAATACATAGCAATGTAATATTTCTTATATAAATATCTGGAACATAAAAAGTAACTAGTGCTGGTAAACTGAGCATTATGTGTCTTTCTGAACTTTTCTGAGTCTGGGCGAAGGAAGTGTGATTCCCTTCACAGAACCATAGAGTAGTTTTATTTGGAAGGGACCTTTAAAGTCCATGCTGGCATAAATTGGGACGTGAGTTGGGTGATCTAATAATTTTTCTCTATAACATTTATGGCTTGGCTTCTTCAGAATTCTTTGTTCATTCTCCCCATCTTCCCTCCTCCCCCCCGAAAAAACCCCAAACCAACCAAAATCCACAAATGCCAAAACCACTGAAACAACAACAACATAAACCCACCAACAATGCCAAAGGGAAAAAGAAGAAGGAGCTGTACCTGATGAGGAAGACCCTGAGCCTGGGAAATATCAGAACCCCTTCCAGCCTATATCTGCTGTAATCTCTGAGGTATGAGATGGTGTGGAAATCTGGATTATTTTAGAACTACCACTAACAAATGTCTGAGAGGTCGTGAGAAAAATGGTTAATTTCCAAGAATTGGTCTAAATCTGTCTGCACACCATTTTTTAATTTGTATTTAATCTTGGCAGTCTTGGTTTGTGTGCATTCAATCAATGTTTTCATGATAAGAAACCCCCTATTATAAATTTGGGGACAAAAGTGTTGTAGGCATAGTAAACTAGATCTAAACACATGACTGAACGTATTTCCTAATTAAACCAGTGGGGATTCAGAAGTGGAAATATTCATGGTCTGTTTGCTTCTTGTATGATGTAGTGAGTCATAAAATCTGACTGACCTCTACAACTGTTTAGATTTCTGAGCATAACGTGTTTTCAATTGAAAATTGACACTATTGAGAAGTTTTTTAGTTTTGAAATATGAAAATCACATTCATATATTTAAGTTTCTTTAACCCATGTTTCTCAGTTCCGGTAGTTCTTATTTATTGTGCCATGTTTTTTTATTCAGTTGACTGGAGATAACATAATCTAAAGAAACATGTAAACTTTTCCAGTAAGTAACTCAAATATTTGCTTTTCTCCAGGACAAAAGCACCCACATCCACGTAGCATGTAAAGTCAGCTGCATGCACAATAATACATTTAATAATAACATACAGAGGAAGAAGACAGAGTGTGCATATTGCAGAGATGGTGATTTAGTGATATAGAACTTGTGAAACAGCCTGGGATTGAGTCTGTATAACACAATAGGTATTTGTCCAAATTGTGGTGGCATTTTCAGGATACTTAAGCTCTTTGAAACTGTATTTTGTTTTAAATAAACATAAAGTAAAACGTAATCAAAGAGGAAGAAATTAGAAGTTTTCTAACCTCAGGACTGTTGATATTATTTATATTCCTATTTTGGTTTATTTTTTTAATATGACCAAAAGTAAAGCAAGAAAACAGTAAAAAAACATAAAGATCATTAGTCAGTTTAAAAAAATTCTTTCCCATTTTTGTTAGAATGAAAAGCAAATAGAAAAGGAGAAGAAGCGGCAAAGGTTGGAGACTGAAAAGGCTACAATTGTCTTGAAATCACAAACAGAGCAGGACCAGATGGATGCCCAGCACTTACCAAGTAGCAGCAGCCAAAACACAACTGACAGCAGACTAGAAATGTGCAATTCTGCAACTACACAGCTTTTGCAGCACTCGGAAGAGAATGATCACCAAGCCTCAGATTGCCTTGACTCAGGTAAAACTTCCTTTGAATGTGTCATTTCATGTGATTTTTCGCATTGTTTTTCCATATTTTTTATTATTTTTAATTATATTTATTATATAATATTTTTTGTTTATTCTTTATTATTATTTTTCATGATACCACACATCAATTTAATCTATTGAAAACATGGAAATGCAGAATTAGGTTGTTGTATTGGAAAATCTTCTTCCAAAAAGTGCATGTTTGTTCATGTGGCTGATACTGTAGCTGAAATTGGGTTTGTTTTTTATCATCATCAAATATGCAGTCCACTTTCAACAGGACCCAGCTAAGTTGAATTTCGTTATGGAAACACAGAGTTTGCATATATTTTATGCTTAAAGTTTGTTTTCTATAGCAAAATGCTGTGTAACTTTTACATTTCCCATAATTTTGTGCATAAGTTCGGACTGAAAACACTGATGTGTCTCCTCAATAATTGTTTTAGAAGATGATCTAAGATATTCTCTGAATATAAGTGTATGATATGTAATGTTTTGTTTCTGTTTGCTATAGATAACAGTAAGAAAAAAAGTAAAAAACCAAAATTAAAAAGGGGCCACAGAGTAGAACCTATTAATCCAGAGGATTCTCTTCCCAAAAATCCAACACCACCACCAGCACTTCCACCAGGTGAGTGTACTAACAACCAGTAATTGATGTCTCAATTTGTGGTTGTTAATCCTTTAAAATATTCACTTGGGAATAATGAAACTGGAATGATCTTCATACAGAGAAATGCTACTAAACCTTCCTCTCTAGAAAATCTTTGATGCAGTTTCCCACTTCATTATAAGAACTTCCAGCAGTATTGATTTGGCCTGTTCCTTGGAGGAAGACATTATTTTCCCAAAAAGTGAGTCAGAAACTTGACTACTCCCGAAAAAGTGATTAAAATTATCACCATTTAAGGCTAAATCAGCTTCTTTTAAAAGTATTTCATAGTTATTCACCATGGATGCAATATATTGCATATCTTGGGTGTTTCTAAATGCTTTGATTTCCCCCAAAATGAGCTGGTTTCTGTTCAGTTCCTCAGAATCAAGAGCAGTCATGGCATGTTTTGACAGTCTTTGTTTTCCTTTAGTTGGCTGGGGAACTCCCAAACTAAATAGACTTCGAAAACTTGAGCCTCTTGGTGAAACACATCATGCTGGTAATTGAAAGTATTTTGGGTTTTGTACTTTTTGAAAGTATTCTCCATTGTTCATTCACTTCTACATTCATTTCATTCTTCATCTTTTTTTTTTAGTGTCTTAATTCTGATCTTCATTGACCAAAACCTAAACCTTTTGCTTAGTAGAAAGCATCTTTTTGATTTTTCAAGTTTTTTGGGGTTTTTTTATGGAACGGAAATTTATGTTAGATTCCCTTATAAAGTTTAAAATGGCTTGGGATATCAGGAGCTATTAATGATCTGAAATTATTCGCATAGCAGCAGTACCTAAACATTAAAAAGTGCCATATTACAAACGGTAAGAGGACCAGTTCAGGACCAATTATTTTAAGAGTCCAAATGAAAACTAAATTATTGGCCTGGAAGGAGAAATGTCAGTGAAAAATCTTGGGATCTGCTGCTTTACCTGAACAACCAGAGTCCCTTAGATTTCATAACCTACGAGCAGAAATAAGTTCAATAACTGGAAATATAAAGGTGAGGTAGGCAGATGCTTGATTTCTTGCTTCAGTAATGGCTGTTTTCTATTTTTGGAAGATCCTGGAAGATTGTTTTTCATATGCTCACACTGCATTTTTTTTCTGAGTTTTAGATGGTACTTCCTTTGTTTTTCTTACATTTTTATTTTTCAAATGTTGAATAGCCAAGTGAACATGGAGACATCTGGAGTAATAGAGGAGAACAACCAAACTAAAGCAATGAGAACACTTATACAAATTGAATAAAGAGAACATTAGTTGAGAAACTTAAGGAGAAAAGAGCTGTGGCTGTAGTTACTCTTGAGCTTAACCCTGGCTTGAATTAATTGAATTATTATCATGAAATTTTGAAACAAGAGAACATGGAGCTTTTCTGCCAAAGAATCAAAAGCTACCTAAAGGGAAAATAAGATTTCTGAACCTTAGATATTTATTTCTCACAGGAATGAGATTCATGTGCATAAAATGTAATTTATTATCTTAATCATAAAACCATCTCACTCTTTTTTTAAAGGCACATAGAGAGAAGGCTGCAAGAGAGAAAAGCCAGATGAAGAGGTAGGGAGGGGAAGAAAGGGAATTTTAATTTTTATCTGTTGCATTTTGTAGCAAGAGCATGGGTGGGAACAAAGAGAAAACCAATTAATTTGGAAGCTAACACTGGAAAATATGTTGGTAGGAATCTCTTAACCAGAGGTGTCACCACTGAGATCAGAGCAAACTTGAAGTGCTCAGGACTTTGCAGCTGAATTCAAGACTTGGGCTGCTCTTTGCTGAGATTTATTCTTTTTCTCAGGAATTTTGAGACTCACAAGTTTCACACAGAACAGAAAATCCTAGGAAAGCAAGAAAACATCCATTAGAAAAGCACTATTTATAAATGAAAAAAGCTGTTCAAATGCACAGTCAAAACCTTCAGTTAGGTCCTGGTAGCCAAGAGCATCAATTACTTATTTTGGTTAAAGCAGCTGTTTTCTTTTTCATTCTGACCATTTGAGATCCATAGAATGATGGAATCATTTATGTTGGAAAGGACCCTTAAAATCATTGAGTTCAACTGTTAACCCAACATTGCCAAGTCTATCTTGCACTGATTTAACTTGCCATCAGAGAGTTTTTACATATTTTGCAGACTGAGAACCTGCTCCTGATGGGATACTTATTGGAATTTTTCTAAGACCCGTGATTCTTTATTTGGAATATTCCCTGAATTGCATCTTTCTGAAAACCATCTTTTTGGCTGTCCCTTCAGCAGAGAAATAATTCAGTGTTGCTTTTTTTCCCCCAGCTTTGCCCAAAATCCACTCCCAAGTTGGGTTTAAAAGTTTTCTCAGACATTCAACCTTTGTGAAATAAAAAGGCATTTTTATTTCCCTTTTGGTTTCATGATTAATTTATATAAATAGCTTGAAGGAACAATTTGCAGACAAAGTAGAGATTCTAGTAGAGATACTTTTCAATAAGGAGAGTAGTAAGTCCTTTGTGTTTGTCTTAAATTATTTTTTTATTGTAAGTGTCAGATATTTAGTAATTCTTGCTGCTGAAATATGTAAAATTTGGGTAGTGTGAGGCTGAAACAACCTCCAAAGGTCTGGTTTTTAATGTTAGGCTTTCTCAAACATATAACTCTGCCTTAATTATGCAAACTGGAAAATTTAAGTGTTAATGAGCAGGCTATTTAATGTATATATTGAGTTATTTTTGTGTCATTCTTAGAAGAGAATGTTGAATTGGCTGTTAACAGGCAGTAGAGTCAATTATATAAGTCTTTAATTTTACACTTATTTCAGTAAAGACTGCAATTTTTCCAATCATAATAATGATTCTGGCACAACATTAGGTAATGAGTGTCTGTTTATTGTTGGTGGAGGATACATTTGCAAGAATAATAAACCTCTTCCAGTATAGGAGGTAAAATTATCTGTCATTCCTAAAGTGGTCTGCCAGACCTCAAGAAATTTATAAATTGATTAATAAAACCATCCATTGTACAGGTTTTTATTTGCCTGGTACTCGTTTGTTGCAGTTTTCTTGCTGCTGTAACAGTGAATTAGCACTATTAAAATCAAAAGATTTACTACAATAACATAAAAGTGTTATCATTTTGCTGATTAAATGTAAGGAAAACTAAAACCTTGATCCTGCAGACATGTACATATAGTCTTAGAGTAGTGTAATCCACCTTGTTTGCTTTTGTTAATTCTAGCTCAGGAGTGCAATTTTAAGTTATTGCATATGTAGAAAAAGTGGAATATATTCTTCTTGGGAAATTTTGATTTATTAAAGCTGAATTTTGTGTTGGCAGGCCATCAAGGCTTTGCTGGGGAAGAGGTGGTCTGTATAAACAAAATTGAGATTTGAATGCTTCAAAAAGCTGCTTTTGTTTTTTCTTGATTTCTACCTGTTTCCTCTTACCATCTCTCATATTATTTTGCTTGTGAAATGCTTTGCATGTACCCATCTGCATGGTTGTTTTTTAATTTTATATCAATTACAAATGTTTGAGAATACTTGTCACTCTCTTCTGATGTACCTATTTACTTTGTCTAGAGCAGTTTTACTACTTTGAACTCCTTTATTGACAAAAGAAAATGTTGCAGTTTTTTTAAAAAATTCTTAATATAGTTCTTTTAGAAAGTTAGTATGACTTGCAAGATAAATGCCATGCATAAATGGTCCCAAAATTTTGGATGCTGCATAGTGTTACTGTCACTTAAAACCATATTGCAATGAAGACTTTACAGCAACATTCAAATTTTGATACTTGATTTTTTCAGTTTGTTGTTTGCACACTTTGGATTTCTCATTTCCTATTTTTAGGGATGTTTACAGATCACCTTTGGGCTTGATCTTGCAAATGCTGCTGCATGTATAATAAAATGTAATTAAACCCTCTTCTGGGGTTTAATCTCTAGACATTAATTAGCACTAGGTTTGAAAGTTGCTTGTAGGAATTAGCTCTTAACTTGTAGACTACCTAGCTTTCATTAAAGGAAGCAAGAATTTGCCATATGTAAAAATCCTTTGGGTGACAGATTGATGTGTTTTTCTTCTCTGGAATTTCTTACACAGATTTCTATGGAAAGCCTCTGCCCCCACTGACTCTACGCCAAAGACCCAACGGTGACACCCATGATGTCGTTGCTTAACTGGATCCCAAACAGAATTTAAAGCCACAAAATGAAAAAATTCCATCAGAAACATTTTTTTTGCCCTTGAAGGAAAATTTTTAAAGTGACACTTTATCGGCATGTTGCAAAATGACTTGGTGACAATTAATCTGGAGTTCGTTCTGTCAAACTTAGTTGATCTTGTCATTCCACATCACCAGCACTTCTTCAGGGTTCAGTGTGAAATAAGAAAGGTCTGTGTGTCCATGGATGTGAACATGGTATTGAATATTTACTTGTGAAAATACATATCCATAAACCTGAAGAAAAACAACTTCAAGATCACTGGATTGTACCGTCCCATCGAGACCTTCCTCCAGGTGCTGTGCAGTCGTTGGTATTTTTTCAGCTCATAAATTATTTTGTAAGATTCATTGTATGATACGGTGACTATAGAAAGGCTAAACAAATATTGAGTATATTTTTCTACCTTTTTATAAAATGATTTGGAGTGGACATGTGTACCTGCTACCAATAAAGTGATACCTTGGAAGCATTAGAAAGCTGATGGTCAAGTCAATATAAATACAGTGTGTTTGACTCTTACAGTAGCAAAACGCCTTTATTAGGGATTATATTATTAGGTGTAGTATTTCATATTTCTGGCAACCTGAAGCAAGGATTAAGACAGAAAGTTTAAAATAACTACATTTTATACAAAATATTGCTATTTGAACTGTCTGAAAGTTTTCTTATCTGTTGTTTTCTTTGTTTTGTTAACTGAATCTGACATAGGTAATAAATTCTGTGGAAAAAAAATTTAGTTGGATATTGTATTGACTACTACAACATACAAGAAAATTGCACATAGTGGAAGTTTTGCACTAATTCAGTCATGAATTTTGATGGAAAACTGAACCAACCAATATGCAGATAAACTCCAACGGGGTTTAATCTTGATAACACTAAAATACTATCTTGAAAACTAAAGAAACCCCAGGGTTTTAAGGATTTAAACAATACTTCCATGTAGTGTGTTTATCTACATTAAAAAAAATCACATACAAGTGATTAATTAACAACAAGGGTTACAAATTGATATATTCCTGTTTAAATGTTTTCCCTCTTATACTAGAGACAACAATTGGTGTCTTGTGTAAAGTATATTGTTATGCCACTTAGTTACAGTAAGGATGAAACCCCCATTCAAAGGGATTTTTTTGAAGAAGGAGTATTTGATTATTGATTATTTTATATTACTCTCCATCTTCAATAACATGGTAATACCAAATTACTTCAGGAGATGTTAAAACAATGCAATGTTTATGTTCAGCACTTTGATATTGGAAATCTTTGCCATATGCCCCTTATGAGTTGCACAAATAGACATCCACCATATTAATCAAAATTAATTTTTATTAAGATTTTTACAGAATGTGTTTGGGGGGTGGAATCCATCTTGAGGTAAGTTTGGAATGGGTGGAGAGGTAAAGTCCAAGTTTAGTGAAAGGATGAAACACTTTGTATGTGACTACATGAGAATACTTTTTTGTATTCTAATATTGTAACATAATTTGATTATTCTCAGAATTTGGTCATTTTCACTTGAAACAAACACAATATTAAGTGGAGGGGAGGTTGCATAAATGTTTATGTGTGCAATCTCAATTTTAACTTTAGCTCTGTTACCACTTAAGTTTTCAGCTTAAAGGCTCTACTTATTTTTTTTACAGCTTCAGTTTCTAGGAGTGTATTACCCTTTTATTTTACCTCCTATCAAAAATAAATGAATGAAAGTCTTCACTGAAAACAAAGCTGAATGTGCTATTGTAACAACGTCTGAGAAACTAAAATGTCAGGTGTTGATACATATGAACTGTTTTATGTATGTTGTGTGTGGACACATGTATCATTTTTGATTTTGCTTTTAAAATAAATTTTACCAGTATGTGACCAAAGTACTCAAAAACGTTTTTACAATTTTGTCTGTTATTATGCTCTGTAATTTACTATGGTGGGGTTTTTTTGAGTAATTTATACAACCTTGACTTTTTTTTTTTGCTCAAGCTGACATTTATATATGGAATAAAACTAATGCGCAGCATCAACATGTTTCCTGTATTATCATAAATTTACAATTTTTTTGGAAGCAAGTATGGTCATAAATATTGAAGGTCTGCAAGTCTCCTGTTTTTAAAATGTACAAAATAGAGACCATATAGACAGAATTTCTGCATATTTTTTTTAACAGCAATGTGATCAAATTTAGAATATATTGATAGATTAGCACTAAGTTATGTGTATATGTGTACATATAAAGTGCTTTTAATATTTGAGAAGTAAATTGAGAGGTAGTTATTGCACAAATTAGAAGATTGATGCTTTTTGTTGTCAATAATATCACTTCCAAAATGTATCAGTGCATTCAGCTGAGAGTATTTGTACCTAAATACAGGAGTGGTAAGAACACAGAAATGCACTATATAAGCAGAACATTTTGCATTGTCTGTGCAACATGTTAAGTACATATTTTAAAGATAAGTTAAATGTATCTTCTAAAATAAGGATTAATAATTCTCATGAGCTGAATTAATGTGAAGGAGAATCAATGCATCAAAATCAGTTCTTCTGCTTCTCTTCCTTTTTAGTTAAAACCGAGAATCCACAGGACCTTACTCATAGATTTAAAGGTTTTAAATGCACATTAATAACTATAATTGTATTATTAAAATTAGGTATATTTGATATCCATTAGATTTAGTTTCACATCTCTGATGGTAACTGATCCTCTGGAGGCCCATCTGTCACTTAAAAACGGATTTCCCAGTTTTGCTACTTTAGGTGGCTTTTGAAATAAGATTGCTTCAAGTGGTCTCATGACAATTTTCTTCACCAGTAGAAACCAGTATATTTCCTGAAAACTGTTATTTTTTCATCTAACAATGTCACATTACAAAAGATTGATGGACAGTAACAAAGTAATCAGCACAGGCTTTTTTTTTCCTTAAAGATTCAAGCAGTATTTTTTCCAGTAGTATATTCTAGTATTTTAGTGGAAAGCTTGACACTGTAAGTTCAGAATGCCACCCACTAACTTTGCCATAGTCTGTTAGCTTCCTACCTTTTGGAATTCTTTCAACTTGAAGTACTTTAAGCCCTAGATTTAGGGGGAGGATACTCAGCATAATTTTTTGTTTCATTGGTACTGTAAAATTCAATTACTGTATATATTTTCTTCTATGGTACTGGCCTTGGCAGAATTACAGCTATGGAGAACTGTACTTTTCATACCAGTTTTGTTCTGTATCTGTTGGTACAACTCATTTATCCGAAAGTCTTTCAGGTTTCCTTTCACGTTTGATACATAGGAAGTATCCATTTTGCCTACAGGCCCTTTGTCACAATCCTGATTGAACATTTTAAATAAGCTTTCAAGTGTGATGGTAATTTGCCTAAATGTTCTTAGCTTTCGTGAGTAGGTGCCTGAAACTCAAATATTTATCTATACGATAGCTCTCCTACTATCATATAGATGACCTTTGCACCCCTTTCCAGTCTGGATTTTTGAGGCCAGTTTCAGCCCTGGTTCGTTTTCCAGAGAATGGCTTATCTGAAAACACAGGTAAGATACTTGTGGGAATAATTCTTAAGTCTCCATCAATTTTTTATGGCAGTAGCAGCAGGTTGAGCTGGAGCTGATCCCCGGTGTGGTTCAGAGGAGGCTGTTGGGCAGCTGGACAGCAGCTGCAAAGCCTGGACCAGCCAGAAGTCTGGGTCTGGTGAAAAGGCACCACCAGAGTCCTGACTGGTGGGTGGGGTGGGATGGCAACAGCCCCCCCCCGGGAGGCAGGTGCTGAGATGAGGATCAGTTTTGTAAGTTGACTGAGAATCCAGTTGCTGCCTGATCCTGGTTTATTTCCTGGGGAGGCAGGATGGCAGTACAGACTCCCAAAGTAAGAAAAGAAAATCACAAAGAAACCAAAATCAAATGAAACAAAAAAACCCCAAACAAACAAAAAAAAAAACCACAAAAAACACAACACAAAACCAACTAACCAACCAAGCAAAAATAAAGCCAAAAAACCCCAAATAACTTAACACACTCCCCCCAAAAAACCAAAAAACACAACAAAACCCGAAAAACAAAAAAACCCAAACAAACAGAACAAAAAATCCCAAAGCAAAACAAAAGCAAAAAAAAAACCCAAAACAAACAACCAAAAAGCCCAAAACCAAACCAAACCAAAACCTCAAACAAACGGG